TATATATATATATATATATATATATATATATATATATATATATATATATATATATATATATATATATATATATATATATATATATATATATATATATATATATATATATATATATATATATACTAGTGTAGAGCACCGCGCAATGCGCGGTGCCGGGTGCCTCGGGTGAATACAAGAACTTATCGTATTATGTATTTTCGACATACTTTCATAAATCGATTTTTAGGCTGCATTTTTTTTTCTATCTATAGGGGTGATTCTGCAATTTTCAAAATTGTGTCGGACAGGAGGTGGATTTGTTGTCTTAAATATCAACAAAGCGATCAAATTTTACGATTTACGATTTTATGAAAACTGTAAAGGTATTATATTATTTATGATAAACTTGTGATAATAAATGTGGCGAATATTTTTGATATTGAAAGAGAGATCCACTTTAGGGTCAAATTTGTAATTAGGGTGGAGCGGGGTGATTCTTCAATCTTCCCAACTGTTTCAGCCAGGGATGTGGATTTTCGGAAATTACAACTTGATTTCCACTTGGGGGGATTTCCGGTTTAAAGACTTTAAAATGGTATATAATATAGGGACCAAAATAGTAATTATAACACGTTTATTATGAATAATATAATAAATTATTGTTTTCTTAAATCGTAAATCGTAAAATTTGATCGTTTTGTCGATATTTAAGATTTATTTTAACATTTGAATCGACTTAGGTATGAATAATTGAATCGTAAGATTTGAATCGTAAATCAAAAGATTTTAAACTCGGTATTGCGAATTTTCGTAAATGAGTCACACGCTATTATAGTCGAGGAGTCGAAGCATTTTGCGTTGGTGGCAGATATTTCGGATATTGCAAGAGAGATCCACTTTGGTGTTAAATTTGCAATTTGGGTGGAACGGCTTGGAAGATAGAGTAAGTATAGTGGTGATTTTGCAATTTTTAAAACTGTTTCAGTTAGGGAAGTTGATTTTCAGAAATTACAAATTGACCCCCACTTGGGGTGCATTTCTTGTTTAAAGACCAAAAAAAAATATATGTAATATAGGGACCAAAAATAAGAAAATTTGATCGATTAGTTTATATTTAAGATTTATTTTAACATTTGAAGCGACATAGATATGAATGAATTGAATCCTACGACTTGAATCGTAAACCATAAGATTTTATGCTCGGTATTGTGAATTTTCGTAAATGAGTCACATACGATTATAGCTGAGAGGATTAGAAGCAAACTGCGTTGGTAGCGGATATTTCGGATATTGCAAGAGAGATCCACTTTGGGGTTAAATCTGCAATTTGGGCGGAGCGGCTGAAAATATGGAGTAAGTATATGGGTGATTCTGCAATTTTCAAAACTGTTTCGGCCAGGGAGGTGGATTTCAAGAAATTACAAATTGACCCCAACTTGGGGTGGATTTCTTGTTTAAGGACCAAATTAAAAAAAATGTATGTAATATATAGGGACCAAAAATCGTAAAATTTGATCGATTAGTAGATATTTAAGATTCATTTTAACATTTGAATCGGCATAGATAAGAATGAATTGAATCGTAAATCATAAGATTGTATGCTAGTTATTGCGAATTTTCGTAAATGTGGCGGATATTTTGGATATTGAAAGAGAGATCCACTCTTTGGGGTCAAATTTGCAATTTGGGTGGAGCAGCTAGGGAGATGGAGTAAGTATAGGGTTGATTGTGCAATCTTCACAACTGTTTCAGCGAGGGAGGTGGATTTTCGGAAATTACAAATTGACCTCCACTTGGGTGCATTTCCGGTTGAAAGACCGATATTAAAAATGGTATAAAATATATGGACCAAATATGTAATTATAACATGTTTATTATAAATAATATAATAAATTAAAGTTTTCTTCAATTGTAAATTGTACAATTTGATCGTTTTGTCGATATTTAGGATTTATTTTAATATTTGAATCTACTTAGGTATGAATAAATTGAATCGTAAGATTTGAATCGTAAATCATAAGATTCTAAACTCGGTAATGCGAATTTTCGTAAATGAGTCACACGCGATTATAGCTGAGGAGGACTTGAAACATACTGCGTTGGTGGCGGATATTTAAGATATTGCAAGAGAGATCCACTTTGGGGTTAAATATGCAATTTGTGTGGAGAGGCTGGGAAGATGGAGTAAGTATAGGGGTGATTCTGTAATTTTAAAAAAATGTTTCGGCCAGGGAGGTGGGTTTCCAAAAATTACAAATTGACCCCCACTTGGGGTGCATTTCTGGTTTAAGGACCAAAATTAAAAAGAGGTATAATAATATAGGGACCAAAAATCGTAAAATTTGATCGATTTGTTGATATTAAAGATTTATTTTAACATTTGAATCAACATAGATATGAATGAATTGAATCGTCAGATTTGAATCGTAAATCATACGATTTTATGCTCGGTATTGCGAATTTTCATAAATGTGGCGGATATTTTGGATATTGAAAGAGAGATCCACTTTGGGGTCAAATTTGCAATTTGGGTGGAGCGGTTAGGAAGATTGAGTAAGTATAGGGGTGATTATGCAATTCTCAGAACTGCTTCAGCTAGGGAGGTGGTTTTCGGAAATTACCAATTAACCTCCACTTGGGGGCATTTTCGATTTTAGGACCAAAACTAAAAATGGGATATAATATAGGGACCAAAATAGTAATTATAACACATTAATTATAAATAATATAATAAATTATTGTTTTCTTAAATCGAAAATCGTAAAATTTGATCGTTTTGTCGATATTTAAGATTTATTTTAACATTTCAATCGACTTAAGTATGAATAATTGAATCGTAAGATTTGAATCGTAAATCATAAGATTTTAAACTCGGTATTACAATTTTTCGTAAATGAGTCACCCGCGATTATAGTTGAGGAGTCGAAGCATACTGCGTTGGTGGCAGATATTTCGGATATTGCAAGAGAGATCCACTTTGGTGTTAAATTTGCTATTTGGGTGAACGACTGGGAAAATGGAATAAGTATAGCGGTGATTCTGCAATTTCCAAAACTGTTTCAGTCAAGGAAGTGGATTTCCATAAATTACAAATTGACCCCCACCTGGGGTGCATTTCTTGTTTAAGGACAAAAAAAAAAATAAAAAAATGTATGTAATATAGGGACCAAAAATCGTAAAATTTGATCAATTTGTTGATAGTTAAGATTTATTTGAACATTTGAATCGACATAGATATGAATAAATTAAATCTTAAGATTTGAATCGTAAATCATAAGATTGTATGCTCGTTATTGTGAATTTTAGTAGATGTGACGGATATTTTGGATAGTGAAAGAGAGATCCACTCTTTGGAGTCAAATATGCAATTTGGGTGTAGCGGTTAGGAAGATGGAGTAAGTATAGGGTTGATTATGCAATCTTCACAACTATTTGAGCCAGGGAGGTCGATTTTCGGAAATTACAAATTAACCTCCACTTGGGGGGCATTTCCGGTTTAAGGACCAAAATTATAAATGGTATATAATATAGGGATCAAATATGTAATTATCGCAAGTTTATTATAAATAATATAATAAATTAAAATTTTCTTAAATTGTAATTCGTAAAATCTGATCGTTTTGTTGATATTTAAAATTTATTTTAACTTTTGAATCGACTTAAGTATGAACAGACTGAATCGTAAGATTTGAATCGAAAATCATAAGATTTTAAACTCGGTATTGCGAATTTTTGTAAATGAGTCACACGCGATTATAACTGAGAAGGAGTCGAAGCATACTGCTTTGGTGGCGGATATTGTAAGAGAGATCCAATTTTGGGTCAAATTTGCAATTTGGGTAGTGCGGCTGGGAAGATGGATTAAGTATATAAGTGATTCCGCAATTTTCAAAATTGTTTCAGCCAGGGAGGTGGACTTCCAAAAATTACAAATTGACCCCCACTTGGGGTTCATTTTTGGTGTAAGGATCAAAATTAAAAAAATGTATAATAATATAGGGACCAAAAATTGTAAAATTTGATCAATTTGTTGATAGTTAAGATTTATTTGAACATTTGAATCGACATAGATATGAATGAATTGAATCGTAAGATTTGAATCGTAAATCATAAGATTGTATGCTCGTTATTGCGAATTTTAGTAGATGTGATGGATATTTTGGATAGTGAAAGGGAGATCCACTCTTTGAAGTCAAATATGCAATTTGGATGTAGCGGTTAGGAAGATGGAGTAAGTATAGGGTTGATTCTGCAATCTAACTATTTCAGCCAGGGAGGTGAATTTTCGGAAATTACAAATTAACCTCCACTTGGGGGACATTTCCGGTTTAAGGACCAAAATTATAAATGGTATATAATATAGGGATCAAAAATGTAATCATCACAAGTTTATTAAAATTAATATAATAAATTAAAGTTTTCTTATATCTTAAATCGTAAGATTTGAATTCTAAATCATAAGATTTTAAACACGGTATTGCGAATTTGCATAAATGAGTCACACGCGATTATAGATGAGGAGTAGAAGCATACTGCGTTGGTGGCAGATATTTCGGATATTGCAAGGGAGATCCACTTTGGGGATAAATTTGCAATTGGGCTGGAGCGGCTGAGAAGATGAAGTAAGTATAGAGGTGTTACAGTCAGGGAGGTGGATTTATGTTAAAAAAAATGATAAAAAAATATCAAATTTCTCAGCGACTTATAGCCCAAGTGATATAGAGATGGGTCTAAGAGAAGTTGGGAAAATGGATTTTCGGAATTAACCAATACATATTGTTAAAATTGCAAGTATAAATTTATTCATGTAACAGACATTTTATGTAAGAAAAAATAGAACATAAACTATAACCCCCAAAATCTAAGCATATATTAATCATCCGAACGCAAATGGACAAAGACAACAACATTCAAAGACCAAAGAATACGTCTAAAAAAAACTAAATCTGAAATGGGGTTCGTTATTTTAATTAAATCCGTAGAAAAAGAATACGATATGTTGATAAAAATATGATCGTTACCCCAGCTTACGAATAATAGTTCCAAGCGTAAGCAGACTACGATTAATATGACAGCCTTCTTTTAACCTTGTGCCAGCTAATAACGAATAAGATGCTCGTCCACTTCCAGCCAAAGCGACAAAATTGTGTCGATATTTCCGATTAAAAAAACATTAAATAATGATATACCATTATTTTTTTGTTATTAGACAAATTCCATACCATAGCAGCTGTAAGAGTGCTCGCAATGTCCCTTCATAAAAAGTCACGAGAACAGCTCTCAATAGTCTGCGACAAACCACATTGTTCATTAACAAAAGCTATCGAATAAATAAACAATAAATTAAATAAAATCACATTATACCAATCTAATAATTTGGTGGGATCTCGAGCTCATTTCATTAAGCGACGTGTCTCCAATTTGTCTTTGAGCTGCACGGATTAACGAAAATGATGCTTTTGTACTCCTAAGCCTTGTTTGGCAATCGTGATTAGGCATGATAGACAATATAATCAAGCTTTATCGAATGTTCCCAAACGAGGCGCTACGAAATCTAACAGTCGTTTTGATTAGGAGCAATTGTTCCAAATTATCAACAATCGAAACAACGGAGTGAATATATTAAATACGAATTAAATATATAAGTTTTCTTACTTCTTAACCTCACATATACAAAGGAGATGAATGACATGACTCCAGTCCCCTAATATCTCCTCTGTCAGCCTCTCGACAATGGTTTCTCTCTGGCGAAATAAGTAAGATAAGCGCAATCGAAAAATAACAAAATTAGGAAAACAAATTTACAATTGAGCAGAATCGCTTGTCAATGAAAAAGAATTCACCTTTGTATCATCGAGAGGTCTTAGTGGAGTGTTGTCTACACTGAGTAGATCTCTCACCGATTAGTTGTAGATCTCCATAGCAGAGAATTTGAACACGAAATCTCTTTCTTAGTGCTGAAAAATCCCTCGATTATTATAAAAAAATAAGCATAATCTGCAAAAAAAATACGAATAATGACGTACAGTTTCATCTTACCTTCTGTGAGTATCCATATATGTCAGGTAGTGCGTATTCAGTTATTCCAATGATTGTGTACGTCTTTCCGCTGCCCGCCTGTCCATACGCAAAAACACGTGCTAAAAAAAATATTCATCTTTGGTTCGAATAAATAATATCTATTTATATGACATGAATCCAAAAAAAATAGAAACTTTTGCTTTAGCAGTGGCCATTGAAGGAAGACGAGAACCAAGGGCTGAAGCAGACCGATAAACCATACTAAGTATTCTGGTACGTTCTATTTGATTCCTCAGATCATTCAACCAAGCAGATGCTGTCACCTGCACAGGGTATATATAATTCATTAGACGAACAACACATTCCCAATCAAGCAATATAATGCGAAGGGACAAAAAATGATCAATAACCACTGAAACGAGCAATAATTTACAGGACTCTCATAAAAATTACCTCGGCACGCAAGTCATCTACTGAAGCAGCTGAAAATGTGGGAACCAAATCAGCTCCGTTTATTACAGAAGTAAGAAAGTGATTTCCTGATTCAACCAGTTCCCATGTCTGCGTAAGATCATAAACGAACAAGTGGTAGAAAGAATGTCGTCAGAAATAAATCATGCCACTTCTTGTGAAAAGTAAAACGATGGAAGAATTGAAAGAATAAAAGTGAACCTGGAGCAAATGCAAAGCAGGTAGCACTCGACAATTCTTTCCGATCCCGCAAAATGTATGTTAAAAAAAAAGCAAATCATATGCTCGATGATTATAATAAACGTGTTTTGTCTGACAACACACCACTTGAAGATGGAAAATCGTATCAAGTAAAACGGAACGAAAAAAAAATGTAGAAACCTTAAGTTTATAATCGGGATAACTTTCGAGTGCAGTAAGAAGACAAGGAGTGGCAAGCTTTGCAATCCATCTAGCAGCCGCCACCATTCCACAGTGTGCGTACCCTAAAACCAAGTTGCTCACTCCCCCCTCACACACCACCGTGTGATGATAACAAAAGCTATCGAATAAATAAACACTAAATTAAATAAAATCACAATATACCAATCTAATAATTTGGTGGGATCTCGAGCTCATTTCATTAAGCGACGTTTCTCCAATTTGTATTTGAGCTGCACGGGTTAACGAAAATGATGCTTTTGAACTCCTAAGCCTTGTTTGGCAATCGTGATTAGGCATGGTAGACAATATAAGATTGCTTTTATCGCAACCTGAGATCTCGATAATGCCTAAAGGGCATCAATTTTCACCTCATGCAGAATCTTTTAGATATATCACCCAACTCTCTTGAAGAATGTTGTGCCGTTTGCTTCCAAGTTCTGCAAACAGGGCCCAATCTCTGTAATGGTTAGAAGTGGTTGTAAATGCACAGTGAAAAACTTATTCGTAATTGATCGCCGTTAACTGAAGACAACACCGTTAGAAGAGGATTCCGAAAACGCAAAATAAACAATTTTTTTATTGAAATTAAATAAATATGAGGAAGCAAACATTCAAGTAATAATTGTGGAGGAGGTGCAACCGGAAATTGAAGAGGAAGTCGACGCTAAAAGAATTATATATCTCATTACATAAAATCGAAACATAGAAGACTATCGCGAAAAAATATATTGCGGTGAATAAAATAGGATGCAATTGTAACCTGGTACAGCATCAAAGAAATTCCAGCATTAAAGTTGTAACTGGAGAGTGGATAGGACACACATGTTAACGGATATCATACCGCATGAGGATAAACAATATGCGAGGCCCGATTGTGTAGTGTAAGTATTTTTTTACTTAGCCCCGTTTTTTCTCTATCTTTATCCAAACTCCCGTTCTCCACACCAATATCTTCCTTATTACTACTGTGAGTCTTCATTTTCGAAAGATGTGAGAAATAAGCAGCGTAAGAATCAACAATTTCAATTGACAAAAACAAATATAATTCAAAAAAATAATAGTCCCGAGACCTGATCGAGTAGTCCGTATAGCTGATCGATTATTTAAGCATCTTTAAACCCTTGGTAAATATTCACTAACATCACCAATTAGATTTTTCTCTTCGATATAGGAGCAAGCAAATCCAGATAAGCACCTTTCGATAATTTCTGCAAGGAAAAAAATATTACGTTATCGATAGCAGATAGTAGTTGTAAATTATAATAATAGCTGGTACGAAGTCGGAGTTAGTATATACGAAAACCAAAATTAGTCTCGTCAACCATCAATCAAAAAGTTTCCGTAAAATTCCATAAAAAAGTGACCACAAAAAACGCAAAAGGATAAATTTATGCATCCATAACTATTTCGAATGCAAGCTGTCAATATTCAACGGGGGTTTCACATAAAACCTTTTGTCGAACCGATCATTTGGGGCAAAATTTAGGCCACCACCGCATAATGAGCTTTTTATTTTAACCTCGATTTCTTCAAGAATGGCATATACTTAAATATCAGCAATAAATTACTTTTGGTTCAACATGAACCCTCCAAGTAAATTCCTCAAAAAATTAGGAATTCATATCATTCAAATTTCACAATGCCGTTTGGGAAAAATACCAACACAAAAATAGAACCCATCAATTGAACATTTAAAAATGTACAAGCAGACAAACCGAAGAACTCTATGAAGATACCTACCTATCTTATCTCTTCTCCAGGAATCAGCGGTATTATACGTTTAACCAACTGCAATCGATTAATTAGAATACATCTATGCAATTACCCTTTTAGGTATTAATTGATTTATCGATTATTAAGTAATTAATTAGTTAATTTTGGTGCGACATTTAATGGCTACGGAGGAATCACGTTCCGTTGTTTGTTATTTCCAGATTTCGACTCGCTGTCATCGCAATACGTATCGTATTATACATGCACATGCATGTGAAGCAATGATCTAATCCAACTACTATATATATCAGCAAATATGCATATGATTTTCCTTTTTCTGCTTCACTCAAAAATGGCATTGTGCACCACATTCTAGTGCAATACAATGTACCTTACATGCATGGGTCATTTTCTATTCATGCCTACTATTCCTCAATACTTCAATATCATGCAATATATATATATATATATATATATATATATATATATATATATATATATATAACCACCCTGAGGTATGGTCAAATTACGAAAAAAACACCTCATGTTTGGATAATTACATCTACCCCTTAACTATGAATGTTCTTACATCTCCATCCTTATGGTGTCAAATTCAACATAATTATCTAAATTTCGTGGAATGTTTTCTAGTTTGTACTCGTTTTGTGCAAAGCTACAATTTTCGATGCTCCACAATCTGATATATACAAGCCTAAAAACACATCTTATGATCATCTAGCTTCAAATGTGGAGCTCGAATGGGATACAACGGGTCCAAAATTGAGAATTTTCCATATAATCTAGAAGATTCCACTAAATTTGAAACCGCAAGGGTGGACGTGTAAGAAGATTTTATAGTCGAGAGGCGTAGTTGTAACTACTCAAACAGGAGAAGCGTTTTTGTAATTTGACCATACATCAGGAGTGGTTGTAATTTACTATATATATAGATATATAATGCTTGGTAATTTTTTCTGGATTTTCAACTATGATTTTTTTTTGGGTAAATTCCACTTTACCCCCTTGTACTCTGCCCAAGAACCACTTTACCCCCTCGTACTCTTAATTTCGTCGATTTACCCCCTTGTACTTGTACAATTTTCCAATATAACCCTCTTCGTCAACTTTTTTCTATTTTGACTCTGACGCCATTTGGCCAAGAGTCAAAATATTTACGTAAATATTGAATTTTTTCGATTTTGACTCTCGAGATTAGAAAAGATAAAGTTTCACACATTCATATATTTTTTTTCTTTGCACTGGGTGGAATCGATCAATTTTTGGGGTTTGATTTTTACTAAGTTAGGGGTTCAATTTGGGGATATCTTGGAAGGGGAAGTGGTGGGAGAAGAAGAAATGACAATATTGACGGAGGAGAAACGACGCGTTATAGGTAGTGGCAATTTTGTAATTTACAGAGTTGACCAAATGGCGTTAGAGTCAAAATTGACAAAAATTGAAGAAAGGGTTGTATTGGGAAATTGTACAAGTACAAGGGAGTAAATTGATAAAATTGAGAGTACGAGGGGATAAAGTGACTCTCAGGCAGAGTACGAGGGGGTAAATTGGAATTTACCCTTTTTTTTTGAACTCTTAAGAGATAAATAAATTAGTAGCTATTCCATATTCACTATGTGTTACCACAATCAATTCTCTCTCTCTCTCTCTCTCTCTCTCTCTCTCTCTCTCTCTCTCTCTCACACAAAGGTGACCAGCACAACAGCTGTCAAGTTTGGTTTTTGTGGAAAGAGAAGTATAATGATATTAAGGCAAGAGGATGAAGCCAAGGAAAAATATAGTCTAGGATTTGAGGGTGATCATTTATTTGGTCACACACATATATATATATATATATATATATATATATATATATATATATATATATATATATATATATATATATATATATATATATATATATATATATATATATATATATATATATATATATATATATATATATATATATATATATATATATATATATATATATATATATATATATATATATATATATATATATATATATATATATGTATTATTTATGCCGAATGAATTATCGAATATTTGGTCAGGATGAACCGAAGCCAAAGAAGCAGTTAGGTTTCTTCAAATCTTGCAATAAAGGAAAATCAGGTATGGTTTTTTTCATGGCTGGTTTAATTTATTTGTTTTTACTGGAAAAAAAAAAAGAAAAAAAAAAGGAGTTTTGAAAGAGTGTTTTTGTATGTATGAGAATTCTCAGGCAGTTTGATGGGAAGAAAGAGGCAATAAATAATAAGTGGGAAAGTGGATGCAATTTCTGCTCTCAAAGCTGAGAGGAAGATATATCATATATGGTTAATTATATTAATTATGTTCTTCAAGTATAGAAGCTAAGGAAACATTGGGAGTTGAATTTTAAGCATCTTTGTCTTTTTATTTATTTATTTTTTAATTATGTGAGTTGCTCCTGTCCATGCAGTAGGGAACATAAATGTTAAAATTGAATTAACAAAAAAAAAAAAAAAAAAAATACAAACAGAAACAGAAAAAAGAACAACAAAAAATTTCTTGGATTGCCAAACTTTGTTTCATTGCAAAAGCTGTTTTGAAAACAAGATTAATGCACACAATGTCAGAATATGTTAGAGTTCGTTCAGCTAAACTTATTCTCAACAGCTGATAAGTTTTTATGTCTGATAAGCTGTTTTAAGAACTGATAAGTTGTCACGTCTTATTTTTGTAATTAACGTTTATAGTGTTTGGATAATGATCTTATAAGTTATTTTTATTCATTATAATAAGATCTTAAATAAAAAATGTAGGACATTTGTATTATTTAAAAAATATCTTAAATACTCTCCAGCAAATTATTTTTAACAGCTTGTAAGTTTAGCCACCTCCCTCTTATTCACAACACAACTTATCTTATTTGACAATATGGTCAACGGATTGAATAAATGGCATAGATATGGTGACAAAAATATGTGTTCTCATTCTAAAGAATATTTGTTAATGGATATATAAATCAGTTAAATTTATCTCATATAATTAAGGGAAAATTGGTTAAAACTCCCTAAAAAATATAATTTATAGCTAACAGTTTTCGAATATTTTGAATTTGTAAATAGTCCATCGGGCGATTTAGTTGGGCAATTTAGACAGAAAATAAACAATTTAGTTGGAGATATTGGATTGAAAATAGACAATTTGCACTAAAAAACAACTTATGGGAAAAATTTGGACCGAGAATAAACATGTAGACAGGAATGAAGGACTAAAACCGATGAGAATAACCTTTTCTAGTGATGTGGTTGACGAAAATTAGACAGTCGGTTGCAAGGACTAGTAGCCCGAGAGGCAGATGAGTGGAAGAAACATCATTTTTGTACATGAATATGTAGGACCTCATGCGCTACCAGTTGTTATAAAACCAATTGGTGTCAGGAAATGCGAAAACTCTAATTTTATAGTGCATTCGATACACACAAGCGCCCACAACATTCGATTGTTGGCCGCTCATACCCAGGCCTCCCCGCATGGACATGCCAAACTCAGACTAGCTAACATAATGTTGTTTTGAGGATGATTTAGGTGAAGGTAAATAATTTATTTTTTAGTCTTAATTGTATATTTTCAGTCTAACCTCTTTAACTAAGTTGTCCGAGTAAATTTTTCACAAAACGCGATAATATTACTATACATATATGAAAAGAAATTAGATATGAAGTATGTTTAGCAAATTACATGTACTTATGTTCTTACAAATTCTTTTAATTCCATTATACCAAAAGTAGGAAACTAAATTCATCAACGATTGATCAATCATTAATCACTCATCTAAAAACACTCATAAAAAAATTAATAATGGGTAATAATACATAATTAAAGAGAGGAAAAAGCCAAATATAATGAGTGGACTAGAAAAATTCCAGCCTAGCAAACAACTAATTCAGATAGACTGAAAGTGATGAACAAATTAAATCCGGGCACTGCAATTTGTGCCAAACAATATTAAAAGGAGACCATAATATTATATATATGTATAATTAATTAAATTTTGGTGCCAAATTACATTATTTGCCACCAAAGTCCTAAAGTGACATCTCACCACTTGTTGACAGCTACATGCCATATATCTCATCCACCCCAATATATTATATATATAAATAATTAATATATATCTAATTATGAGATTTGGGTTATAATTGATTTATTCCAAAAATTTTGTTATTAAGTTGTTGTCATTCTTAGTATTTGAAAACCCATGTTTTGAGGAATGACAGAGATTTTAGGAAAATGACAAGAGCTCCCAGCTATGTGCCCCATTGTCCTAATTATTTTCTTTCATCATGGTATTTATATATATATATATATATATATATATATATATATATATATATATATATATATATATATATATATATATATATATATATATATATATATATATATATATATATCTATATATATA